CCCTGGGATGGGATAGTCCAAAACTAGACGGCATAGGTTTAAGGGCAAAGGGGAAAGATTTAAAAGGGACCTAAGAGCATCCTTTTCATGCAGAGAGTGGTGCATGTATGGAATGATCTGCCAGAGGAGATGGTGGAGGTGGGTACAATTACAACAGTTAAAAGGCATCTGGATGGGTATATGAATAGGAGGGGTTTAGAGGGATATGGGACTAGATTAATTTGGGATATCTGGTTGGCATGGTCAAGTTGGACGGAAGGGCCTGTTTCTGTGCTGTACATCTCTATGACCCAGTTAAATATGTTAGTGGTGAAGAGAAAAGCAAATCACTTATTAGCATAAATACTCATGATGCCATTAAGCTGACAACAGAAACACTTTTTTTGCTGTTTGCAAATCCGAAGGATACAGATATGTTGCATTGTGGAATGCCTGCTAGTTCTAACCTTTCCCAGATGATTTCCTCAAAAGGCTGGCTCTACATTGTCCCTGCGTCTTTGCAAAGTGTAAGTGCTTGTCAAACTCCTGTGAAAGTGAGTGACCCCTGGATCCCATTGACATTTCAAAGCAACTGGGTCATGGCATTGGACTGAAATGATTCTGTAGTGAGATACAGGATCTTCTTCCTGTCTGGCAGCCTAACAAGGCCAGGACAAAGACCTGCACTTCTTTTTTTCAACAAAAAAGTCAGCCCTTTTTTTTTGAGGAGCCTAAATCTACACTGGGGCAGCCATAGCAACAATGTTATTTAAACATTGATTTTGCAGGCAGAAGGGAGAGATAGACAGCTTTGAAATAACTCCGCAGAGACTGATATCCCGTCACCGGGTCACCCTTCATTTAGACATGGAAAGTCCTTGACCCTGATCCTGCTCCCTCAGAGCCAGCTTTCAGAGTGAACAGAACCTCTGCTAATTCCTGTTCTTTGTCAGCCTGCGCTCCCTGATTGGGCCTGATTAACAGCCTCAAAAGGAGAACTCCTATTCAATGAGTCCACCTAGAGTCATAGAGGCATACAGCATGGAAACAGGCCCTTTGGCCCAACTTGTCCATGCCACCCAGTTTTCACAATTAAACTAGTCCCATATTCCTGCCTTTGGTCCATACCTGTCCCATCCATTTACTTGTCTAAATATTTTTAAATGACAAAATTGTACTCACTTCCACCACTACCTCTGGCAGCCTGTTCCAGACACTCGCTGCTCTCTGGACTTTTTTTGTATCGCTCCCCTCTCATCTTAAACTTATACCCTCTAGTTTTAGACTCCCCTATCATGAGGAAAAGTTTTTGGCTATCTACCTCACTATGCCTCTCATGATTTTTACATACCTCTGTAAGGTCACCTCTCAATGTCCCTTGCTCCAGGGAAAAAAAAGTCCCAGCCTATCCAACCACTCATTATAACTCAAGCCTTCCAGCCCAGGTAGCATCCAAGTAAATCTTTTGTGCTCTCTTTCGAGTCTAATAATATCCTTTCTACAGTAGGGCAACCAGAACTGCACACAGTACTCAAATGTGGCCTCACCCACTGACTTTGTTATAATTATTACAAGCTGATGTTGATAAAGGGAGGAATGATAGCCAAACTCCAGCTTGAAATCATAAAAATTAAAATGGAATATGTTCTTGTGATTCTTCTTTATTTGGAAGCCCATATTTGGCTTGAAACCAACCAAGCAATTGTCGAATAAAAATCGATGCTAAAATATAATGCTTATTTTATGAGAAACTTCCCACTGTTCCCAACAGAGAGTTTCAAAATAAACAAATGACTCTCTGGAAAAATATGGTCAGTTCCATAGTTCTGGACCAGCTCTTATTCATCCTGCACAGCATTCAGTACAAACATTACATTACCAGCATCATTCAGAAAGCTTTTAGTAATCTGCAATGAATGCTGTGCAATGTTGTCTTTGTATGTGTTGTCATGAAGCTGACCATTTTTTAAATCAGACCACACCTTTTCTTGCTCTAAACTCTCAAAGTCAATTCCAACTATTTGTTAGTTTCAGTAGGTGCAAAAACTACTTGCACATGAAACTGCCTGTCTGTAGTACAGGAAGAAGGGATATCTACAGCTCAACTTCAATTAATGAAATAAAAGGCAGGAATAGATATGCCCAATCAGTCCATTCAGCTTAAAGAATTTGAGCTGGGATTTCCTTTCAAGCTTTGGTGAAAGAAAGCAGGGAAGCAACAATAGTGTGAAGAGGAGATGAATCTGTGTTCAGAGGATTGTGACTTTTGCATGTGTCACTGCTTGGTGTAGATATTTTTACAGAACCTGTTCACGGATGTCATGACACACCTGTGGAGCAGGTGGGACTTGAACCTGGACCTCCTGACCCAGGGCTAGGGCTATTACCATTGCACCACAAGAGCCCCCACTGCTTGCTGCATGCTGAGAGCTTGCATGGTCAAGCTGCATTTTGTGTATACAGGGAAGATCAAGGCTTTTGCCTAAATGGAGCATCTCAGCTTCTCCGCACTGCAAGTTTTGTGTGTGGTTTTGACACAGGAAGATAAGACTTTCTAATGTTTGTATTTTCTGTGCATGAAGGTCTTCCACTTTTGTGAAATGATGAGACATCACCCTGATTTTGCAGGGGGGTTTCTCATTTTTCAAGGACCGCAACTTCCCCTCCACAGTGGTTGAAAATGCCCTCGACTGTGTCTCTCGCATTTCCTGCAATTCATCCCTCACACCCCCTCCCCGCAATAACAACCAAAACAGAATCCCCCTCGTCATCACGTACCACCCCACCAACCTCCGGATCCAACGCATCATCCTCTGACACTTCCGCCATCTGCAATTCGACCCCACCACCAAAGACATTTTTCCCTCCCCACCCTTATCTGCTTTCCGGAGGGACCGCTCTCTCCGTGACTCCCTTGTCCGCTCCACACTCCCCACCAGTCCCACCACCCCCAGCACTTTTCCCTGCAACTGCAGGAAGTGCTACACCTGCCCCTACACCTCCTCTCTCACCCCCATCCTAGGCCCCAAGAAGACCTTCCACATCAAACAGATGTTCACCTGCACATCCGCTAATGTGGTATACTGTATCTGCTGTTCCCGATGTGGCCTCCTCTACATCGGGGAAACCAAGCGGAGGCTTGGGGACCGCTTTGTGGAACACCTACGCTCGGTTCGCACTAAACAACTGCACCTCCCAGTCGCGAGCCATTTCAACTTCCTCTCCCACTCCTTGGACGACATGTCCGTCCTGGGCCTCCTGCATTGCCACAACGATGCCACCCGAAGGTTGCAGGAACAGCACCTTATATTTAGCTTGGGAACCCTGCAGCCCAATGGTATCAATGTGGACTTCACAAGCTTCAAGATCTTCCCTCCCACGACCGCATCCCAAAACCAGCCCAGCTCGACCCGCCTCCCTAACCTGTCCTTCCTCCCACCTGTCCACTCCTCCTACCTCAAGCCCCACCCTCCTCTCCTACCTACTAACCTCATCCCGCCCCCTTGACCTGTCCGTCCTCCCTGGACTGACCTATCCCCTCCCTAACTCCCCACCTACACTCACCTTTACTGGCTCCATCCCCGCCTCTTTGACCTGTCTGTCTCCTCTCCACCTATCTTCTCCTTTATCCATCTTCTATCCACCTCCCCCTCTCTCCCTATTTATTTGAAAATCCCCTTCCCCTTCCCCTTCCCCTCCCCCATTTCTGAAGAAGGGTCTAGACCCGAAATGTCAGCCTTCCTGCTCTGATGCTGCTTGGCCTGCTGTGTTCATCCAGCTCTACACCTTGTTAACCCTGATTTTGCTATAAGGACTTGTTTCCTCGGCTCCAAAGCATTGCTTTTGTTGGACAGAGACAATGCAGTTTTGGTCTGTAAGCTCACAGGCAACATCGCTCATTTTCTGTGAATAAACAATTGACTTGGTAAACTAATTTCCACTCAGATTTTACCAAGAATCAGTGTTCTGGGTTCCAATGTTAGATTCCTAATGTAGCGTCCAGAGGTGTGGTCAGTCATCTCCCAGAGTCATACATAGAGAACAGTTGTTCTAACCAAATATTGTCACTAAATGTTTGAATAACCAAGTAAACATTTGTTCCATCCCACTTAACAATATGTATAAACTCTCCCATCAGAGGAGAGAGGAATATTTGAATTTTTACTTTGTTGCAGTTAGCTGGAATCGATTCGGAGTATTTTATCATGTCTGGTTATTTATACATGTCTTGAGGTGCAGTGGTAGTTTGCTACCTCCTGGGCTAGAAGCCCTGGTTAAAATCCATACCAGGACTTGTTGGCTGTGGGCGATGTGTTTGTACCATGGCCAAACAGGTTGATTGACAGTCTATAAAACTTTCAAACACCTGATGGCAAGTGGTAATGGCAGATGGGGAGTTTCCTGGTCAACCATGCTGCAGAAAGCAGTAGCAAACCACTGGGGTACTGTGCTAAGGATAACCAGAGACCAAACCAATAGAAATCAATGGTTGCCAACTTGCTCTGAGGGCATGGTGATGGCTTACATATGACTTCTGTTCTGAAGTAGGGCCATAAAGGACTCAAAACATTATCTGTTTCTCTCCGACAAATGCTGCCAGATATGCGGAGTTTCTTCAGCACTTTCTGTTTATATTTGTAATTTATGTAGGTGCTCTGTTATGCAACATGAACGTTAATGTCATTAAAGGTTGGCTGTGATGCAATATTTAATTAATTGGGTTCTACGCTGTATTTCACTAATGGCCCAAATTTTCCCCAGTATTCTTTTGGAGGAGAGATCTACAGTCCTTACTCAGTCTGCCTTATGTGTGACTCCAGACCCACATTTGGTTGACTCTTAACTGCCCTCTGGCAACTGGGGATGGGCAATAAATGCTGGCCTAGCCAGAGATGAACACATCCTATGAATGAACTAAATCAAAAGTTGAGTGCATTCCTCTTTCGGAGACGTTTCCCACAATTCAATCTTCTAAAGGTTACTTGTCTTAACCTGCACAATGCATGCTGTAGTTCACTTACCAGAAGGTGTATTTGCAGAGGGCATGTTAGAAGGAACAGCAGGCATGGTTGGCAGTAGGTTTAGTGCCAGTTGGCGTCTGTCCTGATGGTTCTGATCTCGTTGGATCTCATTGGTTGTAATGAGGTTGATTTTGCGTTTCGGGGGTGGTGGCTGCATGGGTTTAGCAGCTGGCAGCAGCTGGCACCTTGCCTCCAGCTGTGCAATGAGATAGGTCTGGTTATTTGCCAGCGATGCCAAGTGCTGATACTTGTGCTCCAGGTCCCTATAGCGATTGGAAAGCTGCATCATCTCTGCCGTCTGGTTAAGAATCTTGTTCTCGAGATGGGAGACTTCCAGTGCGTTGTCCCGCTTACGTATGATCTCGTGCAGGAGCTGCATGTACAGCTGTGTGACTCGAGAGTTCATGTTCCGGCTCTCCTTCCGCAGAAGCTTCACTTCATTAACAACCCCACCGTCTACCTCGACAAGCTGCTGCAAACTCTCAATCTGTCTTTTCTGTTTCAGCAGTTCATTGTTAAGCATCTCCAGCTCCTGTTTATTGACCCTGCTCTCTACCACCGATTCGGGTTTTGAGTTCACACAAATTGCGCCTGTAACCTTCTGCTGCGGCACAATGAAGGTATATGAGCACTTGTTTTCCATCGTCACTGTGGCACGTTTGTGTCTGTTTGTGTAAATGAACTCCTGCTCATTGTTTTCCTCATTAGCCTGAAATTCCTCCACTTTGTCAACACTGAATGCCAACTTGACCAGTGTAAACAAGACTATAAGAGTCAGTTTCTTCATGGTGTTTATAGGTGTATGACCTCTGTTAGAGAGACAGAGTAATGATTATTAATAACAACAATTCTGAATTAGAGAAAAAGGGAAAAAGACACATAAATAAACTATTAAAGGAAAAAATCTTTAAAAATATTTTTTGTAGATTATTTCCATGTGGACGTTCTCCCTTTACAATGTTGTCCCTGTAAAATTTATCAAATATCTTTTAAATTGATGAAAATTATATTTACCCAAGTCCAATTTCACTGTCTACAATTCTAGACAAATCTATCCAGGCTGAATCTGTCCAGGCTGCACAATATCTACTAATAATAGCCAGAGCCAGCTGTGATCACCACACTCTTAAAACAAACACAGACTTGTTTTGTAGCTATAAAATTCACGCTTGTTGTAAATTTGCACTTTAACTCTGTTCAAATCACCCAGGCCTGCATTTGTCTCCAGCGTATAAAAGGATGCCAACTTCAGCAATTTATTCTTGGCCCAGATCCTGACTGGGAAATGAGAAATTTGCATCAATTTGGTGGGGACTATGATCCAAATTTCCAATCGGATTTAATTTCAGCCATCTATCAGTGTTTGTGTACATCTTGGGTCATCCGGACTTAATTCTGCCCATAGGGACTGGCATTATCAACCGGCTGTTGTTCTGGGTCACCTCTTAGCACATATGTCCTTGATTATCTTCATTTTTGTCAAATTCATTTGTGGGATGTGGGCATCGCCGGCTGGCCAGCATTTATTGCCCCTGAGAACGTGGTGGTGAGCTGCCTTCTTGAACCACTGCAGTCTGTGATAGGTTGACCCACAATGCCATTAGGGAGGGAATTCCAGGATTTTGGCCCAGTGACAGTGAAGGAACGGCGATATATTTCCAAGTCAGGATAGTGAGTGGCTTGTAGGGAAACTTGGAGGTGATAGTGTTCTAATGAATCTACTGCCCTTGTCCTTCTAGATGGAAGTGGTAATGGGTTTGGAAGGTGCTGTCTGAGGATCTGGAGTGAATTGTCACAGTGCAACTTGTAAATAATACACACTGCTGCTACCGAGCGTCAGTGCTAGAAGGAGTGGATGTTTGTGGATGTAGTGCCAATCAAGCAGGCTGCTTTGTACTGGATGGTGTCAAGCTTCTTGTGTTGTTGGAGCTGCACTCATCCAGGCAAGTGGGGCGTATTCCATCACACTCCTGACTTGTGCCTTGTAGATAGTGGATAGGCTTTGGGGAGTTAGGAGGTGAGGCAGTATTCCAAGCCTCTGACCTGCTCTTGCAGCTGTGTTGTTTATATGGTGAGTCCAGTTGAGTTTCTGATCAATGGTAACATCCAGGATGTTGATAGCAGAGGATTTAGTGATTGTAATACCATTGAATGTCAAGAGGCAGTGGTTAGATTGTGACTCAATTTGGGGATGATCATAGCCTAGCATTTGCATGGCGGAAATGTTACTTGCCACTTGTCACCCCAAGCCTGGATATTGTCCAGATCTTGTTGTATTTGAACATGGATTGCTTCAGTATCTGTGAAGTCTTGAATGAACTTTGTGCAATCATCGGCAAACATCCCCACTTCTGACCTTATGATGGAGGAAAGGTCATTGAACAAGCAGCTGAAGTTGATTGGGACTAGGACAGTACCCTGAAGAACTCCTGCAAAGATGTCCTGGAGCTGAGATGACTGCCCTCCAACCAACAGCCATCTTCCAATTTGCCAGGTATGACTCCAACTAGTGGAGAGTATGCCATGTAATACTTATTGATTCCAGTTTTGCTAGGGGCTCTTGATGCCACACTCAGCCGAATGCAGCCTTGATCTCAAGGTTTGTCACTCTCACCTCACCCCTGGAATTCAGCTCTTTTATCCGTGTTTGAACCAAGGCTGGAATGAGGTCAGGAGCTGAGTGGCCCTGGTGGAACTGGCAGGTGCTGCTTGATAGAACTATTGATGACACCTTGCATCGCCTTGTTGATGATCAAGAGTAGACTGATGGGGCAGTAATTAACTGAGTTAGATTTGTCCTGCTTTTCATGTACAGAATATACCTGGGCAATTTTCCACATTGTCAGGTAGGTGTCAGGTATTGTAGCTGAACTGGAACAGCTTGGCTAGGGGAGCGGCAAGTTCTGAAGCACAAGTCTTCAATCTTATTGCTGGAATGTTGTCAGGGCCTGCAGTCTTTGCAGTATCCAGTGTCTGCAAACATTTCTTGATATCACGTGGAGTGAATCAAATTGGTTGGAGACTGGTATCTGTAATGCTGGGGCCACTGGAGGAGACTGAGATAGATCATCCACTCAGCACTTCTGGCTGACGATTGCTGCAAAAGCTTCAGCCTTATCTTTTCCACTGATGTGCTGGGCTCTTCCATCATTGAGGATATTCATGGAGTCGCCTCCTCCTGTTAGTTGTGGGATCACTTAGCTCTGTTTATCACTTGCTGCTTATGCTGTTTGGTGTGCAAATAGTCTTGTTTGGTGGCTTCACCGGGTTGACACCGCACCTTCAGCTATGCCTGGTGCTGCTCCTGGCATGCCCTCCTGAACTCTCCATTGAACCAGGGTTGACCCCCTGGCTTGATGGTAATGGTTGAGTGGGGGATATGCCGGTCCATGAGGTTACAGATTGTGCTGGAGTACAGTTCTGCTGCTGTTGATGGCCCACAATTTCTCATGGATGCCCAGCCTTGAGTTGCTAGATCTATTCAAAGTCTATCTCATTTAGCACAGTGATAGTGCCACACAACATGATGGAGATTTTTGTCAATGTGAAGGCGGGACCTTGTCTCCACAAGGACTGTGCATTGGTCACTCTTACCGATACTGTCATGGACAGTGTGTTTTTTCCCTCTTGTTGGTTCCCTCACCACCTGCCACAGACCCAGTCTAGCAGCTGTGTCCTTTAGGACCCGACCAGCTCGATCAGTAGTACTGCTGGCGAGCCGCTCTTTTTGCGGTGGACATTGAAATCTGCCACCCAGAGTGCATTTTGTTCCCTTGCCACCCTGAGTGTTTCCTCCAAGTGGTGCTCAAAATAGAGGAGTAGCAATTCATCAGCCAAGGGAGGACGGTACATGGTAATCAGCAGGTTTCCTTGCCCTTGTTTAACCTGATGCCATGAGGAGTCCCAGACAGGGCAACTTCCTCTTGACTGTATACTACAATGCCACTACCTCCAGGACATATCCAGGAATGGTAATAGTGGTGTCTGGGACATTATCTGTGAGGTATGTTTCCATGAGTATGACTGTTTCAGGCTGTTGCTTGACTAATCTGTGTGAGACAGCTCTGCCAATTTTGGCACTAGTCCCCAGATGTTAGTAAGGAGGACTTTGCAGGGTTGACAGGGTTTTTAAATATTTATTCATTTTGTGGGACGAGAGTGGTACTAGCTGGCCAGTATTTCTTGCCCATCCCTAGTCGCCGTTGAGAAGGTGGAGGTGAGCTGCCTTCTTGAACTGCTGCAGTCCTCCTGCTGTGGGTTGACACACAATGCCATTAGGGAGGGAATCCCAGGATTTTGACCCAGTGACAGTGAAGGAACGGCGATATATTTCCAAGTCAGGATGGCGAGTGTTTTGGAGGGGAACTTGGTGATCCCATGTATCTGCTGCCCTTGTCCTTCTAGATGGAAGTGGTCATAGGTTTGGAAGGTGCTGTATGAGGATCTTTAGTTTTGTTTCCGCCGTTGTCTTCCCTGGTGCCTATGTCGATGCCAGGTGGTCGGTCCAGTTCCATTTCTTTGAGACTTTGTAGTGATTGACACAACTGTGTGGCTTGCTAGGCCATTTCCAAAATGCAGTTCAGAGTCAAGCACATTGCTGTGGGTCTGGAGTCACATGTAGGCCAGACTGGGTAAGGGTGGCCGATTTCCTTCCCTGAAGGACATTAGTGAACCAGATGGGTTTTTCCCCACAATCGACAATGAATTTATGGTCAGATGTTTTTTTTATTGAATTCAAATTCCACCATCTGTCATAGCAGGATTTGAACCCAGGTCCCCAGAACATTAGCTAAGTTTCTGGATGAATCATCCAGTAATAATATCACTAGGCCATCGCCTCCCCAACTTAAACTCTTGCCCGATGGAGATTATTGGATAATTTGTGAAATCTAGAATTAGTAAGGTCTCTTTTGAAAATTTGCTTCATTTATCAGTGTCTTAAAATACTAATCCTAAAACTGAATTAGGTGCCATGTATCTTCGAATCTAGAAACTGGTCTATGAAAGACTTTTGTGGATATGTGTGATTGCCTGTCCAAACCATTCACAGTACCTAACCTTGAAGATAGCTTAAGTTCCTCATGTAGGTTTTGCTTTTTCTTCCCCATTATTTTAAAATGAAGCACACGTTGTCTAATTCTTGCTTTGTTGTACTTTAAACATCTTGTTTGACCCTTTGATCACATAACAGCTTGTTGAACCCACAACCAGAGGCCTCTTTCTAATCAGAATCCTGTTCCATGGTCTAAATTGTTACCATCCTTCTCCAGTATTATCTCTCTATCCTGAACTGTAACCTTATGCAGAATGCCTTTGAGGGCACAAGTTGATGATCTGTAAGCATACCATTTAAACCATTTCTTCCTACACTACCTGTTTTGAATTACTCTATATTAAAAGCTAACTTAAAATGCATTTGTATTATCTGCCCGGTTCACACACCATCTTCAGAGAAAATACTCTAGGTCTGTGACATTTTTTCAATGAACTGTGTGTATTCCTTTCATTAACTATTCCATTGTTGCATTGGTTGATGTTGGAAGTCATTCGTAAAGGTTTAGATATCAGTCACAAGACACAATGCACACATATGATAAACTGATTTGACTGGGCTCAGAGTTCTACATACAAATATATAAGAGCTACTAAGTATAAGAACAGTGCTGCCTGCTTTGTTACTGATCCTGACCTTGCTGGGATGGATGTTTGTGTCTCGTTTGCATACTATTACATCCCCTGAACATTCTAGTGACAGAATATTTTCACAGCCTGCTTGTTTGAAACTTGTGCACACACTCCATCTGATTCC